ACAACCATATTTGTTTCTTCGCACGAAATTGTATCCTCCGAGACCTTCTGGACACACTGTGGTAAAAAAGTGTGGTTATTACAAAAACCACAGTGTGTCCAGAAGGTCTCGGAGGGTACGTAGTGGAAATAGAAGCAACGCATCGCACGCATGCGTGTCTCGCACAAATCAGTCTGCACCAGTCAGAAAATGACAATGTACATGTACCTGTGCCCGTGGATATCTACATATCCCTCCAAAGTAAAATGTAGATACTAGCAGTAGTAGATCTACCATGCACACAGACTTATTAGTTGTAGCAAGAGTACGTAAGAGAGTACTCTTGGTTGCAAAGTTTGTTGTTTGAACAAAATAGCATGTCCGGGACAATTTTGCACGCAATTCGTGGTTACAATGGAGTTTCCAGCAGGAGTTCTAAACGCGTTCTAAACAGGAGGACTGCATGCTGCAGCCTTGTGCAATGAATGCGTGCGTGTGTGTGTGTATGGACTGCAGATGTTCGTCCCTGCGTCCCTGTTCTTCTTGTTTGTTACCTGCCCGCTGCGCGAATGGTCTTGGCGCGTCGCTCAGCCGCGTGTGACGTAGCAAGCAACCATCTCGCGCTCGGCTGCCGATATCATCAACACGACACGAGTATGATTGTACACGTATGAACTGTTGACATCATGGATATGGCATTTGGCACACCAATGACAATGTCTCCCTTCTGTCTGGACTGTAAACTACAATTGTCATGACAAACATAAGATCGGGGAGTCGTCACACCGACTATCTCCCTGCATAATGTGTAGTCCATGACTCTAGGCTGTAGCTACAACAATACATACTGTTAACAGTACGAGTATCCGTTAAAACTTTGCAGTTACCATTGGTTACAGTTTGACGTTGACATGACTACGTCCAATTTACTACTTCAAGTACGAGTCTAGAGCAGGGAGTCCACCCACAGTTTGGACGGCTCTCTGGTTTGGAGTGGTGTAGGACAGACAGGTGCATTTCAATGATGATGGCACGCGCAGTTTGTAGCATCTGTCATCGCTCGCTGTAATGACGTCGAACCACTCAGACACCTGAATGCCAAATGTTGAAATGCCAGTGCAAGCTTAAATAGCTTGTCGAATCTTTGGCTCGAGATGTCAAAAAACGTAGGACACCTGAAGCCGGAGTAAACGACTATGTAGGCTGAGAAGAGAGAGTGCACACTCCCTCTGGGAGTTATGCCCTCTTGGTGGGATGCGAAAGCAGGCGTACAGAAAACTACCAAGCTCCTGGGACCAGGGTACATTATTTTACTCTTGCCTCTTTGTATACACAAGTAGCTGAAGATACATGGTTGGTGCCGGAGAAATTGTCCACATGGGAGCGTCATGTGCAGGTATTCAGTGTTCGCACTAGCCGTACGCCGTAGGTGTTGACCTCAAACGAATCTCTGTGGCTCCATGTGGCAACGACAGACCCAGACTGGCCAGAGGCTAAACCGCCTTGTTGGCATCCTACACTAGCCCAAGGCTAATTGAGCGGGGATGCCCGTCCAGTCCAAGCTATTCAGCGATCTGCATGATTGTACAGAACACGATGCAGCACAGCTAATCGGAGTACTGAATTTGTATGGTATTGATCTAGCAGTGATAAACAGTAGGGAAGAAATCGGATGTGCCAATGCTAATGTAATGCCAATGCAATGGAACCAGCAATTGGATGGGGACTGTGCCACCGGATACCCTAGAAGGCTAGAGTCGGGTACGTGACGCACAGAGCAGCTGGGTGTTTGCAGAGGAAGGTTGACAACACTAAACAGAGGCGCAGATCGGAAATAGCAACATTTGACAACAACAATCAGGGGAATCGTTCACTTTGTAGTTACAGTACATGTATAGCGCAAACTATTGTAATACCATAGCCCCGGACTCTTGGTATGGTGCGCTAAGAGTAAAAGATCCAATAAGCAGAGGGAATGCCATCGAATAACCATGGCAGATGTGGGACTCCAAATGCACTGCATGTACATGTACATGTATATGTATCTGCGTCCACCGAGCACGATGTGCATGGGGTACATGTATGTATCACACCACTAGTGAGTTGCATAGCATACAGTGTACATTGAATCTGGACAACCACGGGTATTTCAGCCTTTGGTTATTTTAGAATGTTCAAGTTATTCATCGCGACAATCTCTGGCTCCTGTTCATCAACTGCCACAAGCACGTTTTGTAGTGCTAGTTGCTCTGCGAAGACCGTAATAATTATAATATATGCGCTGCACCTCTTGATGTAGTTTCATCTTCATACATGTAGTTCAGACCATAGCCTAGGCACTTACATTGTACAGACAGTGTATTCACCGGAATCATGGAAATACAATGGACATACATGTGCATGTAGTGTGTTCAGTACAGTAGTAACTGTTTGCCCCTTTACTGCTTTAGCCAAGTTTAGGCGAGTTTAGCCTGAATACTGAATGGCAAGTTAGTTGCGATCATGATGCTGTGGACGGACCTAACTTTATAGTCACTGCTGTGCATGAAACTACTACTGCCCAGTACTGCCCAGTACTGCCCAGTACTGCCCAGTACTGGTTAGCCCTGGAAACACAGGAAGGAACATTTGGGTGTAGCTAGACTACAGTTGGCACACAAACCTCTCCCTTCTTTCACACCTTCCCGAAATAGCAGTAGCAGTCTCCTAGTAGTGTACATTTGCATAGAATCATCCTTCGTGCTCACCAGTACGGCAGTAGTACGGGACTCACCACCACCTGTGTCCCTTGCAGTCTAGATTCAAACGTGCTATTGGCTTAGGATATTCAGTTCCGCTGTTGTGCACACCATGTTCTTACTAATCCTAGTTACTTCAATAATCTGCAATGCGTTCAGACTTCAGTGCATCACGCATGCAGATGCGGGTGGATGTTGACAGCTACATGCGCAATGTGAATGTACAGTACATAGCATTGTAAAGTAATAGTTGAAGCAGTGAAGCCGTATCCGAACTCTCAGTCACCCTATTAACACGTTCTAGAATACTAGTACATGTACTTTAATTAATTAAAAGTAGGCTAGCACCTGCATTAAAGACCTACATCATACATGTACATGTAACTTACCTCCAACACGGTGCTCATTGAACCATGATCACTTCCCTGCAATGTACATTATAATAAATTAATAACACGGTTGCACTGAGCAGTAGGAAGCTGGCCCAAATTCGAAGGCACACACAACCATATACATGTACATGTAGATGTACATGATGTATGTACATTTACATGATTGTACAGTAGTAGAGGCGAGTAATTCCAGTTCATCTTCCGAACCACACAAAATGGAACTGCGCCCCTCTCGTAACTCTGACAAGCCACCTACTGTACTGTACATGTAGTAACCATGTACACATCAGCAACCAGTCCCAATGCGCGGACCTGCTGAGCAGCTCTGTTGAACTGGCAATACTACGAGTAGTATTGCTTCACGCCCCTTTGCACCCTACAAAAAAGTTCAGAAACGTTCCAGACACTGGGTCTAAACTGGCTTTAATTAATAAAATAAAAAAGCGAACGACGTGAGAAAGCACGCAAATCATGATCCGATCTGAAACTATAATCTAACTTTACTTGGCCGAAAAGATGGTCGACTAAGCTGAATCACGGTGGTTCGCAAAACGGTCTGAGTAGTCCCATTGTCATACGCGCGACCTGTTCGCCCCGCAAAACGCAAGCATTAGCAAGGGGGGGGGGGGGGGTGAAACGTTTCATACATTTAGATCTTTTGGTCAAGGTAGTTGACCTTCTTTTCATGCAATCGGCCAAGGACGTGAAAGCTCAAGCCGCGTGCTGGTGTATATTTGGAACAAAGCCTTTCTTTCATCCACGAGTATTGTGCTGATCTTGCTTGCGCAGCCAGCATTGCAAGCCAAGCCTGAAACGGTCAACATGTGCAAGTCTCTGGATACACAGCGCTTGGTTCCACATCACCACGGCTTTCATGAGCGTGAAGGGTGCAGACGGTGTGCATGAAGCAGCGTGCGACTGAGTGAGAAGCAAAGAGCTATTCGCAGTAGAGCCAAACAGACCCCTCCCCTGTCAGCAGAGCTAGAGTAGACTGTAGACCAGGGTCTGTAGTGTAGGAGATATCCTCCTGGCTGGGCAGAGTGACGTCACGTCGCATGGCAGCCAGCCATGCCAGCCAAAGCCACTTCTTCTACTGTTCTAGCACTTGAGTCTTGACTTTAGTCTTGGCTAAGCACCGTCGCCTCGCGATCGCAGGGCACAGGTGACAGGGGCAGGGCCAAGGCCAAGGGAAGCACGAGACACATATTAACACTCATATCATTACATTAGTCATTAGCGGTTTTACTTCGCTACTCGATCGCTCATTGGTCAGCCTCTTGTCTGGTGAACTGCATGCTCTCCTACTGACTACGCGATCGAGTAGACCTGTCATTCTACTCTCACCAAACAAGACTCAATCTAGAGCATAACCATGCTATGCATGATAACCATAACCAGATAACACTACAGCCTATACAGCCTTACACTACAGGCATAAAAAGTCAGTATGAACTATGATCTTCGACTTCGTGTCGCACATGTCCTGCCTTTCGAAACTCTCTGAGCAAACGCTTTCCCACGCGGACCCCGCGGTATTGCTCACGTGCCGAGCGTCTGACATTCTGGGCACGAGTCGTACATATCATTGTAGTAACGACTACTAGTATGTTACATGTACGCACAGCATGCAGGAATACACTGCCAAACGACATACTAGTAGTAGTACACAGTACACTATGACTACAGGCTGTACAGTACAGCACTAGCACTGTACCGGCACCAGTCCAGGCACGTGTGTCGTGACTCTTGTCGCTGATATGCAGACACTGATTGCAAGCTAGCTACGCATACATGTGATTCCAATGAACATGAGCGTCGGACCACTTCGACACATCGCCGTTGACGAGCTAGCGCGGTTTTCGTCGTCCGCATAGCTTTGGCGTTCCTAGCGCGTGCGCTTGCCAATCCAGCTGTCAGCTAGCCACGCACGATACCAGCGAGGCCTCGAGAACCAGGTCGCGCAGCAGGCCGCACCAAGCCAAGGCCAAGGCAAGGGGACATCGAGCATTACCCAGCATGCCCTTGACTATCCGGCACTTTGCGTAAACAAGGCCAAAGTCTGCTCTTTGGTCGAAGTGTTCGTTTGCCTTTTTCCTGCTCTTGGTGAGCTGGGTGCTACTCGGCCTTTTGAAAAAAGCGCCTACAAGGTGAGTGAGGTGCAGCACTCTATATTGATCTATTGTAGTATGGTGCAATGCAGGGGACAAGTAGGGGCCCATTCCTCCCCCCACTGGTTTCTCCTTCATTGTTTGCACGTGGAGCAATGCGCATAGTTTGATGACTTCTTCGGCTTTGCCTTTTACTTTTAGCGGTAGCATGGACTTGTGAACGCGCTTCTCCCTACAAAACGCGTAATCAATTGCTACTCTAGTGGGAAAGTGACCAACATGTTACTTTAGCTTAGATTCGAGGCAACACCTAGGTGACTGGTTGTGTGTGGCAATACATCTTGCTAAATGATCATGGTTGCTCTTCTCTCCCTCCTGTGGCTGCATGCAGGTGCCACCGAACGTGTCTTTCGCCATCCCAGATCAAAACCTGTGCATCGGCAGTGGAACTCACGTTGCCTTGTCGCGTCGCCCTTCTTCTCCAGCCAGGTAAGTGATACCATAGTGTCGCTTGTGTGCAGTGTGTGGGTAGTTAGGCACGCCAGACGGATGGTGAGAACTGGAATTGATCGCGATGATCGTGCAGAGAAGTGCTGCTGCTGCTGCTGCTGCTGCTGCTGCTGCTGTTGTAGTTGTTACACTATCGCTCATCGCGTAGTTAGCGGTATGTTGTACATAATGTTCCCTTCGTTGGTTGCTTGTTCATGTTCTGTCGCCGGTCGCTCTGGCTCACTTGGTCTTGGGACTTGAAGAAATCGTGCGAGGATTCTTTTCTGAGCGCACCGTTGCTGTGTTGAAGCTGGCGTCGGTGAGAACTGGAGTAAGAGGATGCGAAAAATCGGCTGTGCTGAGTCACTTGATAAATTTGATTTCCGCGTTGATATCAAAAGACTCTTTGGGTGGGGCTGCGCGCGCCATCGCCATTGGATCGTGACGTCACTAGACACTTCACATGTTGACAAGCTGCCAGTCTACGGGCGCATGCGCATGAACTCTTGCCTCCTCTCACTGAACCTAGGCCATGGAGTTGGTGTGTGCTAAACTGTACTTTGTGTGTGTGTGTCTTTCTTTCCTCTGGCGCGAAGGATGATTGCCAACAACAGCGCATCGCGGAACAATCCGTCGCCGAACGAAATGCTCATGAGCACTCTTCAGCTGATACAAGGTAGGATTTGTCGTTGGTGTATCTTCAGCCATTCCTTGATCTATACCCGGGCCTGCACTGAAGGTGTTTTCTATGTTGGAAGGATAGCTGTGGGTGGCTGTGCTTGATCAATATGAACTTCAACAACAACTTGCAATGATATTGACTTATGAGAAGAAAAGAGGACCAAAGAAACCACCCCACCCAAGTCTAATGTTATTGACACTCTAGTTTTCTTTCTTGGTGCTCTTTAGCGAAAACAGGTGTTGTATGCTTGTCGCTTGTTCCTGCAGAGCAAGATGGAGATCCACTGTCTCCTGCGTCTTTTGGCAGTAGCAGCAGTGTGGGCAGTCCAGCCGATAGTCAAGGTTCCTACTGCAGCCTGCCTGGTTTGCAACATGACCAGTTCTCTCCGATGAACAACTCCAGCCCGAATCACAATCACATCAACGGTGAGTGCCAGTGTCTTGAGGTCCGCTTTGAGGTCCAACTGACCAACTCGGAGATTGTTGCCTTGCAGTTGTTGCTGTAACTTGGATCTCAAGTACTAGTGACTGACTTCTTGTCCTGCGTGTATGGTCATGTTGCTTTGCCCTGCTGGTGCTCAGCACTACTAGTAGCCTTAGTTCTTAGCGTGCCATGCTCATTGTATGTGTGTTGGTGTGTGTGTATGTGTTTCATTGTGCAGGATTCCCAACCAATCCTTTCCAGACCAACCACTACTACATGAATGATTTCAATGCGGACACCATCATGCAGAACCTCGGCCACAGTTCCAACCAGCTGCCCATGTCTCACACCGACTTGGCTGGCTCCCCAAGCTCAAGTAAGTGACTGCACATTAGCTCTGTTTGTTCTGTGCCCTCGCTTTGAATGCATACCAGCCATTAACGTTGCTGTGTGCTCATTCCGTGTGCAGTGAGGCTGCTGCATGTCTGTTGTGCATTCTCTAAATGCTCCTTGTTCTCTTTGTGTGATTGTGTACTTGCAGCATCCTCTGATACCCCCTACCTGACCCCACCACGTGATCCTGCCTGGTTCCCTGAGATAGCTGCCCTGGATGGTTTTGTCGGTGAGTGGCAAAGGGTTTCTCACTGCCATTGATGTGTTCCAAGTACATGGTATTGACAAGTGCTCTCAGTTTTATAATGCCGCATCATGTCAGTAGCTGTACTGTTCATGTCAGTAGCTGTACTGTTCATGTCAGTAGCTGTACTGTTGTCCTGTAACAACTGTTAGTATGCTGGTGTCTTTTGACGGTCTGTGTGGGAATACAATCATGCTCATGTTTCTCTTGTGTTGCTGTTCATTATGCTCCTAATGTGCACAGATGACTTGCTGAGCGACCCATATTCACCATCGAGCGTCGACCTTGCCAATGAGCTGAACACATCTGGCACGTCCTGCGACCTCACGCACAGCCTCTCTAACATCGGCGGCATGACGGGGCCGCGTGACTACGAGCCTGCTGCCGCTCCGGTGTCATTCCGCGCTCCCTCGAATGCCTTCTCCTCCAACTCGACTCCCTTCTCCTCCAACTCGACCGTCTTCTCTTCCAACTCGACTCCCTTCTCCTCCAACTCTACTGTCTCCAAGCCAATGAGCTATGTGCAGCCAATGCTGAACGCCATGCCTCATTGTCCAAACAATGTGTCTGCATCAAGCGTCTTCGACCAAGGTACTTGGAAGTATATTTCGTTTGTGAAAAGGAAATGTGTGTTTGCAGTTCTTGCAGGTGCTACATGCATTGTGTAATGTGACGCTTGTAACATCGTTGCTCTTCCAATACGAATAATTAACCAGCGTGGTGTGTGTGCTCTTGTCGTGTTCAGCTCACTGCATCCCTGCGCCCACTGGTCGACAGTGGATGGCTGTGCCACCAGCTCAGTTTCCGAACATGCACACCCTTCCAAAGGACGCCTTTCCCAAGCCGTATGGCAAGACCGACTTGCCCATCGTCGCCCTCTGGGAATTTCTTCTGGAAGCGCTCTACTATTCAAGCTATGAGCACATCCTGAAGTGGAAGAACAAGCAAGAAGGCGATTTCAAGATCGTCAACTCCAGCGTAAGTTCAGAATCACTGAGACCGTGTATGCACGCACCTCATGCATTGTCTGAGGAGGCTGAAACTAGAATACATGCGTGCCTGTGCGTGTGTGCATGCATGGCGTATACATGAATACATGTGTGCCTGTGCGTGTGTGCATGCATGGCGTATACATGTAGAACACATTCTACGGTGTACAACTAGGTTCTGGGTGATCACGGTCTTTTCAAGTACTTGTAGTAATGTCTGTTTTGTTTCTTGTTCTTTCCTGCAGTCTCTCGCCAAGTTGTGGGGAGTCTACAAACGCAAGAAGGACATGAACTTCGACAAAATGTCCAGAGCCATGCGTTATTATTACGATAAGGTGCGTTCAGATTTTTCCCTGCATTTTTTGTTTGCGTTCCACTTAACCCCAATTGGATTTCATTGAAGTTGTTGGTGCATAGGGTGACTCGTATTACATGAAACTCTGTGGCCTCTATCACTAGACCTGACGAACGATTGTATATTATTGTTGTATTGGTTGTGCAGGGAATCTTGGAGAAAGGAAGCAGTGGAGCTCGCCTGGAGTACAAGTTTGGACCGCGTTCCAACTGGCTTGACTTCAAGCCACCGCACGGTGCCGAGAACGGACGCTTCTTTCAGTCGCAGCCTCCCCGCCGTGCGCGTGGAAACCGCTCCATTGCACCCAACCTCTCCAAGGAGAGCAAGTCGCCTGCAGCTCCGAACGTGGTGACTGAGCAGACGGTGGTTGCCCCAGCCACCAGCATCCCGCTCAGCCATCCACCAATGCCGCAGCAGCAAACCCTCTCGCAGCATGGACGCCATGCATTCCCCAAACCAGCGGCCTGTGCCACTCAACACCGTTTTACTCCTTACTAAATGTTTCCAACCTGTGTGTTGGGCATTGTTTCTGTTCGCAATTCTATTGCTCCGCTGAATCCTATGGATTTGAAAACAAGATCGATTTGATCGTGCCCCCTGTCCTCATTGCAGGACCACTAGACTTTAGGTAAAGATAAGTAATGCTGTAGCCTAATGATAGCGCTGCATTCTCCTGTCCTCCCAAGCATTCCCGCGTGCAAATTTTGCTTTGTGTGTGTGTGTGTGTGTGTGTGTGTGTGTGTGTGTGTGTGTGTGTGTGTGTGTGTGTGTGTGTGTGTGGTGTTGCTCCCAAACCAGAGACTTTCCAGCCGCTGTGCTTGGTGAGCTCTCAGATTCATAGAAACATAAAAATAATCGTTTGTTAGCCATAAACTGCATAGGTCTTGATTTCTTTTCTGCACATTGTGCTTGATGTACTTGCTTCGAACGTACCATTAGTATGTTAGTCTGAATGTGTTATACTCCTCCGATGTGGTAGTGGGCAGTTTCGCTTTGCTCAGGTTATCATTCTTACGTATTTTTCCTTGTTTCCGAGTGACTTTCAATGTATGTTTGGATCAGCTCACAGTTTTCGTGCCGGCTTTTTATACATTTGCATGTGAATGTTTCCCGACCCTGCGTATTCTTCTTCATAGTATTGCGTGCTCCTTGTACTAAGCAGCATGTGTTTGATTCAGGGTCAGATGGATCCCATTTCCGTTGCTTGCCTTTTACTCAATTGCCTAGTACAGTTTTGTTTCATTTGTGGTATCTGCGCACAGTACCCATTTCTAGTCACGTATTCACGGTATTGATGTCTTTTTGAGCCATGAAGTAACAGTTATGTGCCCCTAGCCCTACATACTTTGTAGAATCACATCCATAAAGTGAAAAAATGGTTCTGCTCTGAGCAGTGGACTGCAAAACCTTGTGTGTGGGCTTGTGCAATTGTGTGCTATCATGGGTATTGTCACTATTGTGTGTGCTAGCAAGGAACTACACTGACTCTGCACGTCTAGTCTGTAGTTGGCCACACACCGGCTGGTAGTACTACTAGTAGGTATTGTCGGACTTGTATTGGCCACAATTATTCAATGCAGTGGTACTGTTGACAAGATGATCCCATAAGACAAAGCGCAACGCACTAGTAAGTACCTACTGAAATCTGCCAGGAAACTAGCGATAACAGTATCGCTACATGTATCAGGTTACACACAAAACTGCATAAAGGAGGTTATACTTACAGTCTACAGAGTTAGACTTAGAGTTCGTCGCAACTCCGAGTTTCTTGCACAAATCCACAATGCAATCACCAGGCGACTTGTAACATTTTCAGTGGGACTTGGCCAAAGCATACACTGTAGTAGAGTTTGGCGATGGCCCGGCTGGTAGTGGGTCTCACTATTGGTTCAGCGCAGAAATATTGCCGTGCTGGTCGTGTGGATGGTCACTTGGGTGAGGGAGAGTGAGGAAAGTCACCGTAGATTGTGAGTGAATATACATGTGGAAGTGGATGGCGTGAAGGGGGCAGTAGCCAGGGCGTGAAGATAATCCATCCCACAGAATTGTTATTGGTGAGTCGCTATCAGGTTATAAATGTAGCAACACTAGTACGTGTAGCGTGCTAGCACATGTGCACAGTTCTTATCATTACAAAATTAATTACAACAGTTGATTATCATCACAATCATGAAAATTGTATGTGTGGATTTGTCGCTGTTCGCCTACAAAGTACAAGGCTACATAACCCTATGCCACTGCCATTATTCGGATTTTTATGTACATTGTATATTGTCACCGAGTCTGTAGCCTGAGTATGCAGGGCCAGGAAGCACTGTTCATACACAAAACCTCGTACAGTGAAAGCAAGAGTATATTTATTATCAATGGGGGTTATGAACTCTTGCTACTATCAGTAAAAAAATTAGGGCTGAAACGATCATTCAATAACTCCTAACGATCAACCAATATTCGATATATTGGTTTTATCAATTCTTGTCGGCTCTACTTGTGTACCTCGCACACCAGTTTATGAAGAAATTCCATGATACCTTTGGTACAAATAAAAAATTTGTGGTACCGCACTGTTGACATCTGTGGAAATCTGGCTGGTTTTATCAACATGAACTAGAGAATTTCATGTTGTTTCTAGAGCAAAGAATCTTGTCATCACCCTCTGGCAACTGCTCTTATCTCCAACCTCTAACACAAATGAACCAAAAAGACAAAGTCTTCTCTCCCGATTTCTTTCAAAGCCACAAATCAATTTTACCGCGCTTGGAAGTACATGATTGTACTCGTATTCGCTATCGGATGGAGTGCAAGGGCTAGAATACTGTCACTGATATGCATGCATAATAAATCGTTAGCACTCGTTTTGAACACTAACGATTATCGATTGCACTCTTAACGATCGATATGCGAGTTATCGGCATAATTGTTTCAGCCCTAAAAACATGCATTCAGCACTTTCGTCTTCACATGGTCAAGTACCGGAACGCACTCTCTCGTAGTCGTATGCATTGTACTGAGGGTCCAGCTAGCTTGCCGGTACTACTCCCTGCTTGGTATTTACACTATCATAGTGTAGATAACTGAACCTTGTTTTGTTCAAACATGTTGTTGGTCGACAGCATGTAACAAGGTGGAGGACACCGTGTTTGGAAACAGTAGACATGGTTAGCATTTTACCACTCACGCTTACTCCGACCGTCTGCGTGGACTCGTACCGTTTTTGTGTGTTTTCAAGACATGGTTAGCGGTTCGGTTTCTGACACAACGATCGACTTGTGATGTAACCCTAGTCAGTAGTGGAATCTTACCGTTTCCCTCTAAACAGAGCTTTCTATCGTCGAAACGATACCAAACTGACGGTATTTTGGGTGATTGGTATGAGTGCCGTTAGATTTAGCGTGAACCGTAAAATGCTAGCTATGCCGGGGCGCTTTCGATTACACGCATTTCGGTCAATTCTAGAATTAGTTATTGTTGATGCCCAGTTCGATTACACAAAAAGTGACAAATTCCGTCGTTAGAATTGATTTTATCCAATTCCGTCAAATCCGTCAATTCTGAAGAGAGGGCGGGATTTCTCTAATTCTGGCGCCAGAATTGCACAGTCGGTGTGTTACCGGTCTGGTCATGAGTCAAGCGCGCGAAGAGCCTCCCTGGCCGGCGTGTACGCGATGCTGGGTCCATGTGCGCGCGAGGGTGTACGTGATCTCTTTTTACGATTACCATCAATTTTGTTTGTGATATGACATGAATAACATGCGTTGTGAATTCCAGTCGTTCGTTTACAAGGCCGGAATCCGCTAATTCTGGTCATTCCAGAATTAAAAAAAACCAGTTCCAGAATTGTGTTAACGTGCAATCGAAAGCGCCCAATGTCTAGTGACCTTTCATCCACGGTTGGTAGAGCCCCGGTCGGTTGCGACCATCTGAACCGTATGGGTCTTAGACCCGGCGGTTCTGACCCTCTCTATTCTAGGGGAGTTTTAGACTTCTCGTAACGTCAGTCTTGTATTCTGTGATTGCTCCTGGATGTCTTCTTGATACTCATAAAAACACCAAGACTGACGTTACGAGAAGTCTAAAAACTCCCCTACAGTCCATTCAGAAAAGGTTGATATCCTAGCTTTTGGCCATAAACGGGTCAAATTTTGAGTTTTCGTCTCCTCTTTTTTTTGGCAATCCCACATGGAATGCTCTTCCAATTGTGTTTTTGAAGTCTATTTCTCCAAAAAGCAAGCCATAACAAGAATAGGATTTCGGCCAGGTTTTGCCCCCAAAGCAATGAATTGGGTAAAAACCATGAAAATCCACTCACTCCACTTGCATATCAGTACATTTGCGGTTCGAACCCCAGTTGAGGTGCCTTTTTGGACCCTTTTTCAAGTTTCGAATCGCGCGGCACTGCACAGTGTACCACAAAATCGCCAAACACGGGAGCTCTCCAGAGCCAGTGCTCAACCTTTTCTGAATGGACTGTAGAATAAGTTGAAGTCACAGTAAGAGGGTCAGAACCGGGTCTAAGATCCATACGGTTCAGATGGTCGCAACCGACCCGGGCTCTACCAACCGTGGATGGTTGTAGAAAGGTCACTGTTTCCGAACACGGTGTACTCCACCTTGTTACATATGCTGTGACCAACAACAATTACAACCAAGAGTACATAACCCCCCAGAGTGTGCAACGCCTGATCCAGCTCGGCATAGGGTCTTGGTCGAGCGGAATCGGATCTTTGCGTCATAATACCGTACACATCTGAGGGGAACCGGGGAGTCGCGGGTACTCTTGGATCAAAAACAATGGTGCCCTGCCTCGAGACCGGCCTTGCGCTGGTGTGGAGTGCACGCATGACATCAGAAGATCCGATTCCGCTCGACCTCGACCAAGACCCTATGCAGAGCTGGATCGGCGTTGCACACTCTGGGGGGTTATGTACTCTTGTTACAACATGTTACTCCCTGCTTTGTGAACTGAAGAAGCAGGCCAGGTGCCAGGCTTTTCCACATTATGTTTTGCATAATTTTTGCATCTTGGGGGTAAAAATGAATCCCCGTTGTAAAAATGCATCTTTCGTGATTTTTGCCAGATTTTCTTCAAAAATAACAAATTTGGCATGATTTTTACCAGATTTTCTTAAAAAACATAAAGTTTTGCAAGTGTTAGCTAAACTTTAGCCTACAGGGTTTTTTCTTCTGCTTCTGCTGGCAAGACTTGAGCTTGCCCCACACCTGACGTAACCTGACTCTTGAGTCTTGTCAGTCTCGAAATATGCCCGGCACTACTATACGTTTATAGGATGGGGCCGGCAGGCGGCGCGACAGTGCATGATGATGTGCATGCATGCACGGGTACATGTCCTGTAGGCCATAATTATGGTTCCCTGATGCCAACATGTACTGTACATGCTTCGAATCAGGGAGTCGTAAAATACCGGTATTTTACGACTCCCTGCTTCGAATGAATTTGGCAGCCATCTTGTTGCCATGGCAACGGGTGAATAATTTTCGCATTTTGGGTGATTTTTAGATTTTTTTTAGATTTTTTTTCAAATCTATCCATTTTTGAGAATAACATCATTCCCCCCAAAAATCGAGTTTTAGGGTGCGTTCTTATATTCTCTAGCTTCTAGAAGAAGAAGAAAAGAGAAGTCGAAGAAACTGGGATTACTCAAGAACGGGTCTCGAAGAATTCGGAGATATTTTGCACATGTCAAGCAAACTGAAGCGTCAAAGGGGCCGCGATCTTGAGTGATGAATGCATGTGCGTATGCGAAAAGGGAAATGCGTACACTCATGATGAACACGTGGCTTTCAGTCGTAGTTCGCATGCGCTGATCCCAAACCGCGGGAATCTCCAAGTTTCAACCACCTCTGAAGCTTGGAGAGCTTGGAGAGCTTTGGAGAGCCTCCTAAAAGTCGGAGAGGATATAAGAACAGCTCTCGAACTTTTCGGAGAGTCTCCAACTTTTCCGAGAGGATTTGTCACACGGACTCAAATTGACGTACATGCATATCAATTTGAGTCCGTGTGACAGTGAACTAGAAGCAGTGAGTGCGCTGCTTGAATTTCGCAGCTCTGGACACGTCACTTGGCGTTTACCACTGATATGTGTTTACCGACCCCCTTCATCAGGGGTAGGATTCTGGGATATATTCACCGCCTACATAGACAACGTAACACGAAGCGTGAAGCACAGCTCATTATGCATTCTCGGCGACCTTAATGTCAATTGCTTGTCTGATCAAGCTCCAGCTCACTTCCGAAACATGTGTGCAACCCACTGTGTTCATAACGTTGTAACAGAGCCAACCAGATTCCGCTCCGATTCATGTTTGGACCCTATTTGTATCACTGGTGACCTTGTAGCTGTTGATGTCAGTGTAATGCCTGATCCAATTAGTGATCACTTTGCCGTGAAAGCTAGTCTAGACCTTGAATGCCACCTTAACAGACCAGGTCACCTCCGAGTTAGGACTAGAAAGAAACCGCTTTCCACCCTGGACTTTGATGATCTGTCTGACAGGATTGGTTCGGCCCTCACTGAGACAGGACGGCATGTCACTGCTAGCACTGGCGTTGATGAACTCGTGGATAAATGGCACGGTAGCATTGGAGGTGTCCTTGATGACCTCGATCCATATGTGGTCAAGAACATAAAGCTACACAAGAAATCGCCTAAGCCATGGATCACTCCAGAGCTACGTTTTCTATTGGCACGTCGACAGTACCTCCATCGCCGAGCATGTAAGAAAGCGAGTGACCCAGCAGCTTTCGAAGAATATCGTCGAGTTCGGCGCGAGGGAACTTTAATGAACAGGCGTCTCCGCTCCCAGTACTATCAACATCAATTCATGTCCGTCCGTAAACAGCCCAGGGGCCAATGGCAGTTACTCAATGGCCTGCTTCACAGACATACCAAGGACACTTTAGGAGGGACTGATCACATTGGTATCTCCCGCACATTTGCACAAACTGTTTCAGACCCCATTCGGACACACCTTCACTGCCCATCTGGTCCCCATCGCCAGACTTCTATGTTGGCTATCTCGCAGCCTACGGTCA